GTATGGGATATGAAAGCCGAAGGCCTGTTCGAACACCTTTGCTGTCTGCAGTTAACTAGATAAAACGTCTCCAATTCGCACAGGAACACAAGGATTAGACAGTGGAGCATTGGAAAAAAAGTAATGTGGTCCGATTAATCACGTTTCCAGTTGCATCATGAAGATGTCAGAGTGAGAATTGGGCGGAAACAGCATGAAAGCATGCACCCCACATGCATGAGTACAACCCTTCAAGCTGGTGAGGCAGTGCTATAGTTTGGGGCATGTTTTCCTGGCATGATTTGGGCCCTTTAATTCGTGTGGAACAACGTCTGAATAGTAATGGCTAGACATTCTCTAAACTAGTACTGAAATGGTGTCTCAGTTTTTAGGGCAGAGTCACAGTTGACGAATCCTCCTGAGCGGAAACTTCTGGTCTGAGTCTGAGGAGGTACCTCTACCACACCTTCCTCATCCTCAATGTCCAACAATAAGTAGGTAGCCATGGCAACATCCAAAACTGATTTTGAAGGGAAAGGAGAAGGGGGGCTATGCTTGCGTCCTCATACCTCAAACATAGAAGGTGTCTGTCTCGTAAATGCATTTATCTAAGCAGAAAAATCTTCCTCACTAAAGGCAGGAAGAGTGGGATTCAATTGATGGGGCAACAGATGCAGTAAGAGAAGGCCAGCAAGCTGAACAGTGAGCGAACACACATACCATCTGTAGCGAAGTCCCCTGGGGAAAACCTCAGCGAACCCTCTGCGCCCAGTAGCAGTAACATTGCCAACTATCCCTTGTGGTGATGGGCCTCAATGGTTACTCACGATACCAGCACCAAAGGGTTAAAGAGGATCCCCCTCACTGGTCTCTTGTCCCTGTTAACGCATTAGATATTATTACTGTGGATGGTGTCAAATGGTTACAAGGTCAGTGTGCTTGCTCCATGTTGCAAAGATAGCTGCAGCTGCTCCTGATTTCCCTGCTGCTGTAGGCGGAGTACCAGCCTACATGCATTAACAGGGCAGCCTGGTGTACCAAGATGGCCAACGTTGGCATGCTCTGGTGGCAGGATCCCCCAGCCTTTCTTATAGCTGTCCATGGCAGTGTCAGAACACTACCATGACCACCGGCGTGTGCAGGCAGGAAAAAACAAAAAGGCACGTAAGGGGAGAAGAGAGGCAGAAACTCGGCCGCCGGTAGTACCGGGGGAACTGTCCACTGACCCTATGCTTTGCTCACTTCGGACGAGCATACATCCTCTGCCAGGGATGGGGGTCACACCAGTGCGCATATGCCATTGTCCTGAACCTTTATAGCACCATGCATCTAACCTAATGCACTGCACCAGTGCCAAGGTGCCCACCTTGGCACTGGTGCCTTGCAGGAGCCACTGCCCAAAGCAACATTACAGGGCAGGACCACATCTTCAGCTCTGTGGGATCCCCGAAGCTGCTGCCATGGGGCACAGATCCTGAAACTGCAAGATTGCTGCTGTGGCCAGGTGCAGCCAGAAAGATCTTGATCGAAGCAATGCAGAAAAAAGAACTTCAGCATCCATTACCTAAGGATTTCCTGGGGAAGGAAGGGTGATATTAAAAGTCCTCAGAGCTCTGGCCAATGTCCAATCACCTGATGATACCTGCATTTTACTCAGTCATCTTTGAATCTGCCTATGATTAATTTTTGAAGCTATGTATGGCTACCATGTAAGTAAGGAGATTATAAGATATAGATTAGCAAATGCATGATCTCAGTTTATATAGTTATACTTGGTCATTCAAATGGGTTTCCCACATTTCGGGAACCTTTTTTTTTTTTTAAATCAATTCTAATGATAAAATTAAAGAAAACAATATTTTCAACTATATGTACATGCAGGTATTTACTACAATGTATCTCATTTTAATATTCTATTGAATCAGTTGGGTTGTGCGTGTGTGTGTTTTGATATTTAGAGTGTGTATCAGAAGTTAGAAATAAGGCATTTATACGAATTGTAAATAATAATGAAACGTACAATTTCATAGCATTTTGCTAAAGAAAACAATACAAATGACAATTTTCTTTTTTTTAATTACCAACAATACAGATTTATAAGAGGATGGACATTACGAAACATGTGACATTTAACAGTTTATTTTTATTTATTAAAACGGAAACAAATTACACCATCGTACTAGTCTTTTAAACATACAGAATTATTCACGTGTCAGCATTGCTATATACTGCAGGGTAGTATTTGTTCATGAGACATACAACAGAAACATACAGGTTTGTGACAATACATAAGATACACTTTCAGAAAAAATAGAATGCTATATTTACAAACTATACATCCATTCACCACTGGATTTGTTTTTTCTATTTTAATTATTAAATATATTTTATTTAAACCTGAAACCAAGACGAGTGTAATTTCCAGCACCTAAATTCAGCTTAATTTGCATCATAACCCATATGTATATTGTAAGGTAATAAGCTAGAGACCCCATTTCAGATAGCCAAGAAGTACTATGGGGTTTAGAAATTTGGAAGGTAGAAAAGAATAGTTAAGATGAAGTTATACATTACCCAGTAATAAAGCTAGAGCTAGATTTGTCTACTCTGTAATGTAGCACTGAGCTGACATTTAAGAGAGACTACTTCACTAAATGACAGTAAGGAAACACTATAATACGAGAAATTCACTTCGATGATGTAGCGTTTGGACGCTCGTTCAAATGCTTAGCAAACAAGAGAACATTTATGTAATGCCTTGTACATCCTGTGTACAGTACTCTCTCGTCTACACATATTTTATGGACTAGTAGCTTCTGTGAACTGATAACTGTAATCATCTGTTGGTCATTACCAATTTACTATCATTTCCAAATTTAGCAAATAAAAATTTACAATGCAGGGTCATAAAAAGGAAAGACGACAAATCTTAAACGACACAATTGCGGTTTAACTACACTAAACAGATATTTGATTTCAAGATTGGTTTGCAATAATTTGCAAGATATCATTCCTCTCTGTGCTAGAATTATTACGTAATTCTTAGAAAAGTTTCTAAAAACTTGCTGCCTCTCTCAACCTTATACTGACAAAATATAGTGCATGGAAAAAGTTTAAATAAAAACACATCTATTCTTCTATACAATGAAGACTAATGAACAATTTTTGTTTTTGACAGATATACATTATGCCTTAAAAGGGGATAAAAGGTAAGCACATTTCAAATAGTTTCTTGTGCAAATTCTCATCTCGCATCATATATCAACTTGCATATTAAAGAAAGAGTGCCAGCCTCCTTCACTGAAAAAGATTTAAAACAAAACATTGTTGTATGGGTATTTAAAGGGTATGTAGAGCAAAAACCTGATTTTTTTGTTTGTTTCGGATGGGGTAGGGAAGGGTTAAAACCCCTGCAAGGCATTTTTTTTTTGCTTCCCATGTACCACTAGTGCAAAATTTACCTTCACTTTGTTCTAGAGACGCAACAAGAAGTTGGTGGAAATCTTCCAAAGTGAGTGGAATTTCCCTCTTTTAGACAGTTGTCCTAGGAACATGTGCCCCTATTGGAAGATTTCTCCTTGCCTCTTGTTCTGGAAACAACCCTAAAATGTGGGTGTTTGCCTCACTTTGTTTCTGGGACAATGGTCACCAGGACAAATCGAGGGGTTAATCTCCCCAAAAGGGGACAAATGCAGCAATAAAAACCCAAGGGTCTAAATTTTCATCATTCTAAGTTTTGCCTAGAGATACGCTAATATAGTTGATCTTGCATTTAGATGACCACATCAAAAAGTGAGTCAAAACCAATAAAGATTTAAAAAAAAAAACAAATCAGCATTTCTTCTGTTTAAAGATGGGTGGTAATATGTAATAATCTAGTGGTACACGCCCCAACTTATTTTTGAATGTTTAGGGATATTTCGGAAGACTGATGATAGCCTAAGAAATATGGAGGCCAACATTGCTGGCCTTCTTCTGAAAAAGCTAGTTGGCTGACTGTTATAAGGGCCGATTACATATACGTGGGAACAGATTACATTTTTTATGGGAGACCCTTGACATACCAACTGGTAGATTTTAAAATAATAAAACTAAGGAAAATAAAGTTGGTGTGTGGTCAGCATTACTATTCCACAGGCTAAACGGTCACTGCTTTCAAGGTAACAGATTAAAGGTAGTAGAAGAGCCCACAAGTTTCGAGAACTTAAATTATTCTTCCGTAATGCACAGAAATATTCATTAATAGAACAACTACAGAATCCCCTAACATCCTCCTTCACAAATTTCCTTTTAAAAGAATAACCTAAAAGGTTAAGAAAATCAAAACTAAAACTCCCTGTGATAAACATTTAACATGAATACTATTAAGGACTGTATTAAGCCAGAGTAACTCTCTACAGCTTCTTCACATTTGCACTCTTTGCTAAAGTGCTCAGAGATCAATGGGATAAATGACAAATATATAGAGAGAACAGTGATACTATGTCACTAAAAAAATCATTTTATATGTAGAAATTGGCTAGGTTATAACTATGACTGTGCCTTACACACAACAGAAAAACTGGAATAGGCCAGTGCTGGTGCTCATACGTCTGTGGCAGTGGTACAGTATTCTCTACAATAAAGTAAATATAAAAAGGTATGTGAACGATTACATAAAATGGTTAAAAAAAAAGTATATAAACAAGCTCAAATTTATCATGTATACCACTGTCATTAACACCAATTGGTCCAAGGGCCCCTTTAAATAAAACTGCTATTGGTGAGTGAAAGAAAACATTTCGAGAAGGTATTGTTTGTTAACATATCCGCTTTAAATTACTCTGCAAACAATCCTTATTTTTAGACAATTCCTACTAGTAAATAACAGATTGGAGTATTGCCATCACTCAGGAGGTGCTCTACACGATAGCAAAAACTTCCACCCAACAGGACTATTTCTTGAAATGTGACTGATATAGACACTTTATATCAACTAATAGTCAAAATGCTACTTTTTATTGCATGCTAAAGGAGACAGGGACAGGCTGTTGGGAATACCAGGAAATGTTTGTGGAATAACATAACAAGCATAGGACATATTAACCTACATTTTAAGCAGTCCTGTCCAGCAGGCGATGCTTTAATTTGACATAGATGCACCATTACCCTTTGACGTCATTTCAATTGCACTTGGAACATTCAGGAACAGAGATATCAGGTCAGACACCTACATAGTTAACAGAAAAAAAAAAAGTCTCAAAGACCAATATTGCATTTGGCAAATCTACTAGTGAATGTCCCTTCATTATTCTTTGGACTGAACAACTCAACATTTTAAAAACTGTTACTTGTACAGACTCCATTTAATCAACCTAATCATTTAAAACTTCATAAAAAGGCCTTAGTGGTAAAAGCATTGATCCACAATATTTCGGTCAGTGCCATGAAAAGTGTATAAAAATCAGTGACGGAGCTAAAAAAATATAACATCTTCTTTGTTTGTATCTTCACCAGTATCTGGTGCAGGAGGTGGTGGAGGAGGAATGGAGGGTGTCAGTAAGTGAGCACTGCTTTGCCGGTAGAGACTTGAATGATATGGTGGAGTCTCAGTGATGGGATCTCCTTGTCCTGGCGGGTCTACTTTGAAAACAAGAGAAAAAAAAAAGACTGATATAAAAAAATACTTATGGACCTGAATACCTGTAAACGCAAGGACATTTGAAAATAAAGTACTTAAATGCATACGGGGACCACAATCTACTTGACAAGTGTTTCCGTTTCTCACCTATGTGCATCTGGATCAGGCCACCACACTCTTTGGTCAGTAATCTGGGGAACTCTTTTGCATTTGTTAGTAATGCTATAGAGGCACTACTAACACACCCATTGCAGCCTCCTGTCTTTCACATACAAAAAGCCCGGTGGTGTAGTGTCCCCGAAATAATTTTCTCAGCAATCAGATTAAAAAAACTGACCTGGACATTTGAATCTAGTGGCAGAGCTAGTGGAGAGCGAGGAAGCTAAACACAGCACAGGCTTCAGGACACCAACCCCACATGTGTGATACTGTGCGGCTAAATGGATGTCATTTAGACCCCATTCACACTGAGCGACATGGAAATCGCGCTACTTTGAGCGACATTGAGCGACGAGCGACATTGAGCGACTTCTTCCTATTGGGCTGTATGCAATCAGGAGCAATATCGTTCAAAATCGCTCTAAAAAAGGGTCATGTAGAAGCGACAAGCTACCAGCGACGAGCTACAAGCGATATTGAGCGACATTGAGCGACGAGATGTGAACAGCTACATTGAAATGTATTGGTGAAGCTACATAGAGCGACATAGTGCGGAAATATGAGCGATATCGCTACAAAAATTGTGCGATAAATCGCTCAATGTGAACGGGGCCTTACTCTGTTGCCAATACAGTGGGTAAAGTACACAAGTATTGGCATACTGTACATGCAATAATAACTAAATGGGTACCTTAGTAAAACAGATTTAAAAAAAACTAAATTAAAAACTATTTATAAAGCTCCTAGATTAAATATTACTCATTGTCCACTTTGAAAAGATGGAGAACTATTAGAATTCTTAAAATCCTCACGGATCTAATGTTATTGGAACTGTGAGCCCGAGATGAAAAATACAAGACACCTTGAAATCTAAATCTACATTTAAACCTCATTCACAAGGGCATGCAATCAATTAGATGCACGTACAGAACATTTGTAAAACACATATTAATGCATGAAATGATTTTAAAATGGTATAATGTGAGTTTACTTGCGTTCAGGTGTATTCAGTTTAGCTGGTTTCAGAAAAAAATTGAAATTAGTGCTTCCAGAGGCAAATTAGATAATCTGAACATGTGAAAAATTTAAATGCAGGAGAAATTGATCTGGACAGTTTAACGTTTATATTTCCTAGATCAATTTCTCCTGTGTTGAAATGAATCAAACGCAGGAGGCCCGTGTGAATAAGGGCTAATTTATGAACAATATAGAAGTCCCATGTGTATAACAATTTGCAGCTCTGTTTGATCCTTGTAGGACACAACATACTGACTTTTTTTTCTGACTGGATTTCAGCCTTAAAATGATGCTGCTAAATTATTTTTGTATTGCAACGGATCTTCTGCATGCGCATATGTCCCCTGATATTTCCCTTTTAAAATAGAAAAAGAGATTGAGGACACAGAGTTTTCTGCAGCCCCTGTTATAAAATGAACAGGATTCCTCTATACTGAGTGTTCCTGTTCATTCATAACATGAGAACAGAGTATGTTTACTATAACCACAATTATGAATGAACAGGAGGTGATGTAGATCACTCCCATTCACTCATAATTGAGGATATAGTAAACATACCATATCCTCAAGTATCTACAAACACTCAGCGATCACTGAGTGTTTGTACCTCGCTCTCCTCTCTGACAGCTGTCACAGGAGGCTAAGCGAGCGGTGCAGGGAAGAGAGCCCAGCCTCCTGTGACAGCACGTGCTGTCTCTGCCCTCACACCGCTCTGCCGGACTGTGATAGGCGGCTGAGCGGTGTAGGAGACGCGGGCCGCTCACAGCGCTCTCCTCCCGCAACGCTCGGCCAGCTGTCACTTTCTCTCCTCCCCGCTGGGACACAGAGCAGCGCCCAGCGGGGAGGAAAGAAACCTGGGATGCGCCGATATATTGGCAGGAAAATGGCACTTTCGGCATTAAGCCAAAAGTGCCATTTTCGCCCGATATGTTTCGGCGGCCGATATATCGGTGATTCCCTACTCCAGGTGCTTCTACAGTTTAGAGCACACCGATTTTTCTGCTTGACTGCAAAAACTGGAAATGAGACCCCAGTCTCACCACCGTAGCTAGTGGAGGGATGATGCCTGTATTTTCCACTTACAGAGGTTATTGGGCAGTTAAGTTGAAGAAAAATGCCATGGATTAAAACTAAAAACACCATGGATGCTGTTGTATAGGTCACTAGTCATTTAAAAGAGGATACAATCACAACATATGTAATACATCCTTGGACCTCAAAGGGTTACAGTTTGGATTAGTAATGAAATATAATGTTCCCGACCAGAAGCTTACCTTGGGGAAAGAATGTTATAAGACTATTTGTGAGACTAGGACTTGCTGATCGTCTGCTCCTCACTGTACTGTCTTCCTTTCCAGAGAGCTTTGATGGGAACAGTGGCCTGTGATCTATAGATGCTGTGATAACATATTAGAAAAAAAACAAAACATTAATGTGCTGGTGTCTTTATTCACATCAAATCCAGCAAGGGATGAGGGTGTTAGGAGTCGAATAAGGAATTGTGGGATATGGGAGAGTGCATCTATCCTCTCAGCAAAGCAATGGCGATTTGTTTTTTCCAACTTCCTCAGGCTGCAATTTGAGAGTTTAAAGCTCAACCCTAATGACCCATTCACACTAATACACTGCGGTAATACATGCTATTTGTGTTGGTGTGCTACAGAGCTATTCATTGTGAATGACACCCTAACACACTTTAGCTAGCAAAAATGCTAGCAGGTCAATTATAGTGCATTAGGTAGCCAATTCAAGTAAATGGGTTGCCTTAATGCAACTCATGTTAAAATGCAGCGCAGCAGACTGCCATGGTGTGAATGAGCCCTAGACGTATGACCTGTGCCCTTATGCCTTTTGTTCAGTAGCATGAATGGATATGTGTGATTGATGCTATAAAAAGGAAAGAACTAAACAGGACAACCAACCAATTATAATTTGTCTTTAGCGGTTTAAAAAAGCAGATTATTTTACAGTAAAGAGGCTACATAACAATTCATTCAAATATGTCAAAATCCTTTGTGTAAAAAAAGTTACAAAATGATAAAGATGGAAGTGCTTACCTGAACTATCTGTACGATGTGAGGCTTTTCCTCTGCCAGCTTTTTCCTTTCCACTTTTGCTCAGGGCAGCCAGTTTAGTAGGAATCTGCTGTTTTGTAGGTAATGCTTGCTTTTGGATCTGGTTAGTGGCACTCAACAAATGGATGGGCACATCATTTTTCAATGCTGGTCTTGTGTCAGTGGAACAACTATCCCGACGCATGACTTCAGGTCTCTCCAGGTAATCAGCTGCAGATACAGATGCACTTGTTTTGGCTAAAGTTTTAAGGACATGCTGACCAGCCCCTTCTAGGCTCTGCATTCCTTCACCATTAAAGCTTGCTGAATGTGTTACACCCTAGGAAAGAAAACAAACAAATAAGAGAAAAGGGTCATACCTTTCCACATGCAAACATGCGTCTTAAGCTGGCCATACACCTATAGATTATCTGCAGATTTGCAGCTTGGCCCAGAGGGAAGTCCCTCCATCCACACAGTTTAGCGTAGATGGAGGAATCTGTTGCATCTTTTCCATCTGATCATAGAAAATCTGCAGATAATCTATAGGTGTATGGCCAGCTTTACTTATGTAGCATATTAATGCAGGGTGTTAAAGCCCAATAGAACCTTCTTTATTACTGTAATGCAGTGAGGCTGCATTTACAACAATATAATATATTTTTTTTTTACGTACTATGTGCTGTGCCAAGGGATAAAATACCCTGTGCTGGCAGCATGTTGAATAGTCAGTCTGCTGCTCTCACACACACAATGCAGAGTGAGCAGTGTGTAGGGGGCATGTCAGACCACTGAAGACCAGGGCTGCAGTCCAACTCTCCAAGGCACTGTCATGCAGTTTGTCTGCATTACAGGAACAATAAAATAAGTACTCAATTGGGTTTTAAGTTGTGCGTAACAAAAGCCAAGGTTCCCCATACATGGGCAAATTATCAAGGCTGACCCAGCAGTCCCTTATCAGCTCCTATATTTATATATACATATACACACACACACACTAAAATGGTATGACATTTTTAAATTATATTTAGGTATGCTGTGTGAATGGGAACACAAAAACATATAGAAGGGGTTTCTTAAATTTGGCTGCAAAAGTGGAATTACACCTGTAAAAAGAGGACATGGGTAGAGAGTAGCAACTACTTTGGCAGAATGTAAAATGCATATTGCTAGACATTTGAAATATGCTGGGGGGGGGGGATTTATCATAGCAATTGCAAGTGTTTCAACTTGCACGGAATATATTTGATGCACTTTGCGTCAGATTTATGATGCTAGTGTAATGTTGTTCATAAATGAGGTTAATAGACTCCAGGAAAAAACACTCGTAACTCCAGACAAAAAGCTTAACTGTCGCTTCTTGAAGAAGTGGTTATGGGGACTTCCTAAGTTGCAATTGTTTTGTTAGGTGATGCTCCAGTTTCAGACAGCCGCAGAACAAGTGCGGATGATAACAGTTGCAAACTTTCACGAAACAGCAGCAATTGGAAAATTAGTGCAAGCTCTGGAGCAAGAGGCTAAAACTGTCGCAATTGCTTTGATAAACTCCCCCCGCTGAGAATACTGCACTATAAAAGTCCTTGACTGCTGCACTGTCAAATGGAACAACAAGTATGAAGCATTTGTTTCTCTTAGGGTTGGCCATACATGGTGGTTATTCTTGAACTTCCCGTCTCTCTCAGACTGGTCACCTGCTACAACCATTATGATGGGGTCCTAGCATTCAAATCACTATTTGGTAATTAAAATATTTTCTCCATTGTTACACAATGAAAACATAAGATTCCCCTTCCTTGGCTTCACATGACTTTCTATACCTTGCAATATGAAGTGGAATGACAGGCCATAAATACATAATAGAAAGTGAAAAAAAACTGCGCTCTTACCAAAGTTACTTGGACCACGTCTGGTGAAAAGGATCCAGCACTAACACTTGTTTTTTTTATCTTCTTCAACTGCTCCAAGCGCTCTCTGTCCTTCTCGACTGCTCTTTGTGCCTCGCGCAACCTCTCCAAATCATGCTGGTAAGCTTGCCTTTGTTTCTCTAGCTCTGACCGCTCCTGGTCTAACCTCTCTCTTTCTATCCGAGAAGCCTCCTCTCTTTGCTGTAGCCCCATATCGGCAGCCTCCACCTCTTTTTGTCGCTTAGTCCTTTCACGATCCCATCGATGCTTTTCTTGTTTCAATTGCTCCTGCTGTTTTTGTACATTGGCCAACTCCTCCCTTTGCTTTTCAAAATTACGTTGCTTCTCCTGCTCCAACAACCAGTTACCCTTTGATGACAGCTGTCCCAGCTGTTTCTCACGTTCTCTCTGCACCTCAAAGTAGCTGTCTTGTTGTGTTACTATTGACTGAAAAAGAACAAAATAATTATATATTACAATAAGCTTTATAAAGCAAACACTGCAGATCAGAATTAACAACCACAACAGATTTACTTTAGAAGGCACAGATCTAAAAGAAAAGTCTGTAGGCAGTAGACAGGATACCTTTACCCAGATCTGGCGGTGTATGTTTAATATGTCAATGTCATGTGTCACTGTTGTACCAAAACAGTTTACAGAATAGTTAATACTATTAAATTAACTTAAAGAACTCAGGGCATGGAAAAAAAAATTAACCCTTGCAGTGGGGCTACCCCGCTGTTTGTTTTGGTCTAGGGTCTAAAATAAAGAATATATTTACTTGTCTGATCCTCTGTGCTGTGGTGGTAACCACTTACCTCTCTCCCCCTCGGCGTCCCTTCATCCAATGCAGGTCAATGGACATGATGCCATCACTGATCCTTAGACCACTAGAGCCCGGGAGGAGGCGGCTGCCGGGACCAAGGATCGGGTGAGATAAATTTTTTTTTTTTAGACCATAAACCAAAACGTGCCCTTCCAGTGCGGGGGTAGCCACACTGCAAGGGTTAATTTTGTAGATGCCTAGATTTGTTCTTTACCAATTTCTAATATTTATAAGTATAAGGAACTTAGTCCCTGTTCACACGTAGGCGTTTTGACGCTCAAAGCTAAGCGTGAAAAAAACTCTCATTTATTTCAATGACCCCTATTCACACCTAAGAGTTTTGTCACAAGCTGTAAAATGCCGAACGCTGGAAAAAGTTTTTGTTTTTTTTGCCAGATTACAGCACATTTGGCCCAATAGACTTCAATAGAAAAATCTGGAAACGCACGACACAAATGGTTTGCACATTTCTGTGCGCATTTTTGCATGCGTCTGTCCATTTACTGCAATGTATCTAAATCTGCTCACTAAGACGTGCGTCTTCATGCAGGCGTTTCTTTGAGTGCATGCGTCTAACGCGTGCAAAACATGCTAGATGAGAAGCTAAACAAAACGTGCGCTAATATGCGCAACAACGTTGGCGTCTAGGTGTAAATAAAGCCTAACAAGGGTATTTTAGGTTTCAAAGTGCCATGCTGAAACTGACTGAAAAATCAAAAGGAGTCGGGTGAAAAATTGCTGAACAGTGAGTGCATCCAATCAGATGCAGTCAAGTGTTCAGACATTCAGACAAACTGCACCCACGGCTGTCTGAGTAGTCGAACATTTGACGCATCCGATTACAATAGAGGACGGGAGATTCCGCCGTCCACCCTGTTTAGAATCGATAGAGAATTCTTGTTGTTCAGAGATTTATGTTCTCTGATCGACAAGAATCAAACAAAAACAGTCAATGTCCTCCTGGTGTATGGCACCTTCAGGACGTCAATAATTGACCGGAACAGACTGATTTATTAAGAGTTGAAGCAACCCTGAAGGCAAATATACATTTTATAGGACAATGTATAATTTAACATGCACTGCACTGTCAGGCATATAATATAATCAGCTTCTTCCTCTCGCACAAACAAAATTATTGACACTATTTTTTGGTACATCCCCACTAACAAATGAAGGATGAATGACATATGTTGGGCTATCAAAATGAACAAGCTCACGATTTTCCCAATTGTCACAAGTGTGGTTTAAATAGTGCAGAACTTCCGTAAATTTACTAAAAATATCCCACAACTATTTTGTTTGCTAAACACTGACATATGTAATCTAACCCCCTCAGATGAGTTGGTGAAGGTATTGAAATAGATGAGGAGTTTACATCACTGTGCCAAGACTTAATTTTATTTCAAATCGGAAATGCCAAGCTCCCACCTGACTAAGTGAATACTGTACATTTGTCATATTTCTTGGCAGACGCATTCTTTATATATACTACACCAGCGACAACACTAATCATTAATAAAATGTCACTTACCTGTAGACTATACAGTAGCTGCAATAGTGTCTGCATCTTGCTGATGAGCTGTAAATAAATATAAAAAGGTCAGAATGCACAGCAATCATTATTCAGAAACAATACCACAAAATAAGCATATTGCATAAAAGTCAGAGAAAGCGCAATAACATGTAACAATGCACCCGAAAACAACTTTATTATGCCAGAGAAAAAGAAAAAAAACATCTACATAATCCCTATTAGAAGTAAAGTAAAGATGGATAGGACCTTATAATTAAGGGCCTTTCCTCCAGAAGAATAGCAAGCTTCCAATCAGCACAGAATTTGGAAGTCCTTATTGAAAGCATGTCCTGTGTTGATGGAGATCAGGACTGATGATCTTTTTCAGCCTCTTTTAGCCACTTCCCATCTACATGCACTTGCTGCAGTAAAGGCTGCATCAGTGTTTAGATCCATGTTCCCGAAAGTGAGAACAGTGGACCATGCATGCACAATGTGCGTCACCACGGCCACTTGTAGTCTCTTCAAGGGGTACATGTGACCATGTTAAAGTATAGGAGTTCAGCTAGAAGACAGTTGTTATCCCATTAGAGAACATGCCTGAACAAGAACCATCATCTTAAAGTTTATATATGATTTTAGTGATTGGGCTTAGTGCTACTTTAACTTTACTCAAAATTTGTTTATATATACGCCGATCAGCCGTAATTATGAACACCCACCTAATATTGAGTAGGTCCCCTTTTTGCTGCCAAAACAACCAAGCAACAAACGAAAATTTTTGTCCCTTAAGGAGGGAAAATGGGTGAACTGGGGACAGGGTCATGGGCGGCCAAGGCTCAGTGATGCATGTGGGCAGCGAAGGCTGGCCCCTGTAGTCCTACCCGATAGAAAAGTTTCTGTATCTCAAATTGCTGAAAAAGTTAATGCTGGTTCCGATAGAAAGATGTCTGAACACACACTGAATCGTGTATGGGGCTACATAGCCACAGACCAGACAGGGTACCCACCCTGACCTGTGTTCACTGCAAAAAGCACCTGGGCAAGTGAGGTCAAAATTATAAGGTCTTGATATTGGATTGGCTGCACCCAAGTAAAAGGATCTATGTGTGCAGTCTCTTCAGAGACCAATACTTCCAGGAGTGATCATCTCCTGTGTCCCCACAGCGGTCAGTGGTTACTTCCACCAATTTCAGATTGGCAACAGAATTGCTTTAAGAATTTTAAGTGGTAGTTTTTTAATGTTAATTTTATTACCTCAGATTCTTGACTAGAAGAAGGATTGTTGTTTTCCAGGACTGATATTTCAGACTGTGGAATAAATGCAAAAAGTTACAAATACATTTAATAAAATATCTGCCTACCTCGAAAGGATTTTGTCACACACTTCAGCCCAAAGTAATTATGTAGAAAAACAGGTGTAAAATGCTGTGATTTTGAAATACTTACACTTGCAGAGCATTCACTTCCTGCTTTGAAAGGACAAAATGATATCAGTTTACCAAAGCAATGCACACTGGGATTGCCTTGTCATCAGCAGAGCATTGCTGGGAAATCTCATCTGTAATCTCACGAGATCTCAGGGAAAGGCATTTGCTCCCCTGAGATGATGTGCATGGTCACATGTCCTAGTCACATGTCTGGTCACATGTGCTAGAAATCCAGGAAGTAAAAGTAGAGCTAGTAATCTACATACACAAAGACGACAAAGCCTGAATTTATCTAGAAGTATGTGTTTGTAGATCATCATTACTAAACATTTCTAAAAGGTGTGGTTATTATTTTAAAGATACGGGTAAAGGTCCACTTTAATAACATTTTGGAATACGTTTACCTCACTATACACAAGATCTTGAATGTGGCTTTCTGAGCTAGTGGATGTTGTACGTCGATCTTTGACCCTCTGTTTAAAGCTGCCACCTGTGCGAACACACACACACAAAAAAAAAAAAATATATCATTCAGATTCCCTACATTAATGGCTTTAATGTTAGTAAAAGTACATACATGTTTACATCGTGCACAACTTACAAAAAATGTAATTTAAATATAGACCTCAACAGCCACAATGGCTATAAATCCACTATATGTTCACCAAATGCATTTGCAAGCTCAGATATAACTTTGTAAGTACCAGTGAAATGTTTAACGCATACTGTTAGACAGGGCAATTTGTTTTGTTGCAGGCTGGCTGGTAAGTGTGCTGGGACATTTCTATGTTTTGTATTGTTGTAAGCCCTTCCATGTGCACCTTGCTAGTTATAAATTGTGCGGTTGCCACACATTTTTAGCTTTGCTGTATTTGGTGTGGGGACGCACTGGGGGCCCTCACGGTGCTTTTTGGATTGCTGGTCCTCCAGAGTGTCCCTGTGCCTTTGAGCAGTGGGCTCCCTCTAGCCATACCTGCATTTAAGTTATCTACTGCTTAAATATGCTCCAATATGGAGACTCACAAAAATTAGAGTTAGAACCACACTACACAGAGGAGCCTTGACGAGGGGGTGTGACTTCCACATATTTTGCATAAAGTTGTGCAACTAAAACCTCCAATTTTAACACATACTTTTAGACAGGGCAATTTGTTTTGTTGCAGGCTAGCCAGCAAGTGTGCTGGGAAACTCCTGTGTTTTGTATTGTTGTAAACCCTTCCATGTACACCTTGCTACAAAAGGCCAGTTATAAATTGCGTAGTTGCCATGTATTTTTAAAAAACAGGATATCTCTGTTCTCCCCAGTAAGTGACATGAAATTGAAGGCAAAAAACTAAAACAAAGGAAGAAGAGTTGAAACCGCTCCGTCCACTTTCATCGCTGATAGAAAGGCACTACACTGCTCTAAGGAAACAAGAAAAATTAACTGTGCATGCTCACACATGCGCAGTAGATAAAACACAGTTGTATGAGCAGTGGGAAATATAACCACTTAAAGTCCGGGGTGTTAAACCCCCTTCCTGGCCAGGACATTTTTCAGTGTTCATCGCTGCGGTACTTTGACTGACATTTATTCCGTCATGCAACGCTGTACTGAAATACATTTTGTACCATTTTTTGGGACAGATGGAGCTTTCTTTGGTAACATTTTATCACCACTTGTTTTTTTTTACTATATAATGAAAAAAGTTCTGAAAAGTTTAAAAAAACAGTTTTTCCTACATTATGCTATGAAACATTATTACCAAACTTTTTGGTAAAATATAAAAGACGGGGTTACGTCGGGTAATTAGACACCAAACATGCCAAGACTTAAAATTGTTTGCCCCCGCAAAAAAACTACCATATTCAAAAAAGCTCAAATCAGTTTAGAGTTAACAGTGATTAATGGCCCCACAATTACTGCTCGCATTTCGATGTTCGCGGTGATATGTAACACGTTAAGTGTAATCATTGTTTTCGCACGCATACCCTGCCAATGTGTATTTACGTTTGTGTGTGTGTACGTGGGGGGCTTAAATTTTTTTGTTTTTTACATTTTGGTATGTGACTTTTTTTACATCATTTGTGCCAAAGTGGACCAGGAAGTAGAAAAAAAAAGAAGAGCTGCATGCTGATGTGATTTGTAGTCAAAGGGGGTAAAGGTCCACTTTAAACATTTGTTACCAGAACAGGTGTCTCCTTTGGAAGGTTTTCTCTCACCTCCTGCTTTGGATTTCCCATCACTTTAAAAAGGTGCCCATACACCTTGCGATTATGGTACGATAATCGCGGGAAATCCCACGATCCTACGATAATCACAAGGTGTATGGAAGGCGTGCGACCTCTGGTACTGTAAGTTTGCACGACTTTTGTCTTAAGAGCATGTTCGAAAACCCGTCGAGAATCGTACGATTGTCGGCGGGTATGTGGCATGCTCGTAAGACAAATGCCGAACGGGCCGGTGTGCTCAAGCACACACTGCCTGTTCAGCATTGCAGTCATCGGAAGCCCGTCCCTCAGGGGGGCGGGCTTGCGATGATCGCAAGTACGATCTGCCTGTCCAAGATGGGCAGATCGTACGTTTTTTTTAATGACCTTACAACCATCGCAAGACAAAAGTCTTGCTATGGTTGTAAGGTGTATGGGCACCTTTAGTCTAGGTAACAACAGTCATGAGGACCATTAGAGAAGTTAATAAACAGGGACACAGGCAGCAAAAACCAAACAGGGATCCTAATCCTCCCCATCTCTATTCAATGGATATAAATACATTTTAAAGTGGAAGTTTAATCTAATGATTGACCTTACTTTGTTATTTATTTTTATATATAATCTCACTTTTTGAATGTCCAGAGCTTTCATAGCCTCCAAAGGTCTCTGATCGTCTTGGCAAAGCACTAACACCTGTGCTTGTATCATCGTGTGAATTGAAGAAGAGACTTAATAGCATGGAATGGATCTTTTCAGCTGCAAGGAAGGAAGGATATACCTCAGACCAAAATGATAAGAATGGCACTTTCACCTGTTTTATTTATATTTCTGTAACACTGGATGTATAAAGGGCAATCAGCAAAAGAACACATCACTAAAAGACACAAGGAGTACTATTGCACCCATGCTATTAATACCATCAGAAACAGACAAAATGTGTATTTTTTTGCACATTGTTTTAATACCTTCTCCTATTGCAGAGTGGAGTGTGCTTTCTCCTTGTAAGTTGTCTGAACTATCAGATCCAACAAGAAGTCTCATCTTGGATCCTTGAGAAGAATCATCGAAACCGTATAGCTCACCCATGTCTATGTAAAGTTGTAACTTTTCACTCAAAGTTTGCATTATATATGTATCCTTTATAGTCAGACGCTCTGTATGGGTAAAACAACATTAAAAGTAGATACAAGTCATAGCGTGTATTTGCCATATTTAACACAATTTCAATAACTTTTATATTACATTTGCATTAGAATCATTAGCAAAAAAGGACTAATTTTGATTTAAAATTACCTTGAAAGTCCCTAATTTTAGCAGCACGCTCGTACGCCTGTTTTCGCTCAATATCGGCTTCATTTGTTATTTCTTCTTCATCTGGGCAACTTGAAATAAGAAAAGACCATTTTGAATCAACTGACAAGATGAGCATAGTTTGTAGCTCATGCAGAGATCATAAGCATAATGCTATATATTAAAGTTAGAGCCACTGAATGGACCACAATGTAACACACTGTGTGGTAAACACAAGATCGTATTTAAAATTACCTAGATAAACATTCTGACTGTAAAGAGCACTGGGGCTTATAATAGAAAGTGTTTAAAAGAAATATCACGCGTGTTCCAAAATCATTTTCAGTTTTCCACTGTCTAGTGCATTGATGTAAACTACTGTAAGAGTGAACAGCAGCATATTTCACATCCAAAATTAATTCATGGAGATCAAACATTTGTGTACAACATGCGCAGAATAAACTATATTCAGTGTAGCTATATAAACCCTAATTAAATCAAGGTCAGACTACTTTGGTGTACCTCTCCACAGCACCACGAATCAGTGTCATCCAGGTATTCCTCTCCTCCTTGGAGGCAGTATGAATTTCATACATCTCTGGGCCTTTCATTGAAGCACTTATCAAGAACATGGCTTTTTCTTCATTAGCCACCTCTCGGACTATCAGCTTTTGTAATGAAATAACAGGAGGTTTGGCATCCTAGAAGATAAAATGGTTTGTTTATGTAGGGTAAAGGGTTTGAAAAAACCGGAACTAGCACCACCAAGGGAAAAAAACGAATTACTGCAGGTTTTGGTTGGCAGAGGCTGCAAGTTAAACAACTTAACAGTTGCTTCAGTATCTTGGGGGATCTGGTGTCTGTTTACATCCAATCGCCTCTGATCCATCATGTTTAGGTCCAAAAAACAGAGAAGGATGCTAACCTCCATTTTTTTTTCAGAACCTAATGGACATACGTCAGTTTACATTCAGCTGCCCATAGAGTTACATCAGATCTGCCTGAAAAATTGACAGGCTGATTTGATTGGACTGCCCATGTGAAAGAGGGCTCATATTATACCAACAAGGAGAGTGGGGACACCCAAAACTGCAAGGTGGGTGGAACAGAGCAAGGTTTGATAGTTGAACATAGTAAACTTTTTAGGAGATATAAGAAAGCAGCTATAGGTAAAATTTTACTTCAGGTACAATGGCATAAAACCGGGTCTAGCACCACCAAGGGAAAAAAACTAATTACTGCAGGTTTTGGTTGGCAGAGGCTGCAACTTAAACAACTTAACAGTAAACGTAAATGAGGCTACGAAAAATGAACATCACAAAAATACTATATTTGTGAAGTACTGAAAGTTAGGGTTTTGATAACATTGATGTATAACACTTGAACAATGGAAAACCATAAACGGGTAACAATAATGTGGCAGATAGCAACACACTGTTCTAAAAACAGGACTCTTGATTATCGAGTTTCTAAAGAACGCTGCTCCTTCTACACGCTAACACACTTACCACAGAAGAAAATATATACTTTTGATCCTTTTCTTGAAGCAGAAGCAGTACGTCTGTCAATAAAACGGCCAAGATATCTAACAAAGAAAGAATGATAAAAATTGTGTTATAAATTAGAGTATTTTGTAAAAATGCATCTGCAATATACACGAGTGATTCCTCCACTTCACTAGATTCCAAAGGGGCTTTGCTGATTGTTTTATCAGGTATTTATAAAGCTGTGACCTTTAAGGTGATAAAAGTTGAGAAATAGTAAAGTGGCTTTCCAACTTTTAAAAGAAGAACTTTGGGCAAAACTTTTATGAACCCTAAAAATGGGAGGAGCTGTGTTTATTATAACCACCTAGTGTTTTAATATGAAAGGTGCATCCCATTAGTAGACAATCCCTAGAGAGTACCTCTCCAAAAATATATGTTGCAGGGGATACGTCAAATTTTACTTCCATCTTTGTGCAGAGTTCTGAGAAAATCAGTCACCCAATTACCCAAGTAAGAAATTACATTTCTGGGGGCATTCTGCACACTGGTGGTACTTACAAAATGTCCATAGGCAATGCTTTAAAAGCATTAACTTCTCATCCGCTTAGATTAACCGTGAATAATGGCCTAGAATGATTGCTTTTACTCCGACATTCGCAGTGATACCCAACATGTGTGGCACAATCTATGTTTACATACACATGCATGCCCTACATGCATTTTCAGTCGCAGACAGATGGCTGGGGCGGTATGGTAGGTTTTAATTTTTCTTTTTACTTAACTTTATTGCTATTACAAAGGGGCTAACAAGCCCCTATGCCATAGTGTTTGGAGCTAACAGGTTCTCTTTATGAAGGTTCTCCTGACCTCCAATAGAGACGATCAAGCACAGGATTAAAGAAGGAAGTGCTGAGAGCACAGTTTAGAAAGGTCGTGAAACCCATAGAAAATAAAACCCCCTGAAAACCTGGAAAGTTGAAATAGAGAATGAGCAAATTAAATGAATAATAAACTTTTGCAAACACTTCTATATTAACCTCAACTCTAAACTGGTATATTCATGGACAAGAGCAGACTGACAATTTATCCCCTATATTGACATATCTATTTTCCCCCCACATACCTTTCAATCTTCCTGAAGCAGTCTTCCAATATAGCAAGCCATCATGAAGAAGTTGCCGGTTCTCCATGTCTTGCCTCCTAAATGTCATCCCATTTTTGAATTTACCAGAGGATTTTGGCTCCATTTTGGCTATGATTTCATCCAGACGTTGTCCCTTCTCACTCTTATGAATACGAAAGTCTACTTCTGTTATGGTTTCTTTTATGAGTGTAAGGGCCTGAGTTAATGCTTCATAGTCTTCAGTCCCTTCTGAGAAAAAAAAAGCCATAAACGTAGTACATATAAATGTAGCTTGAAAAAAATAAAAAAAATTATGAAATCTGAATAAATGTATTTGATGTTTTAAAAAAAAAGTTAAAAAACATTCTAGCAAAGTAAGCCTAAGTGACAGTGTCTTCGCACGTAGAAACGCACATTTTGTGTAGCACGTTCTTGTGTGTTTTACGTGCGTACATACAGTCGCATGTTTTTGCAAGCAGAACGTCACACCTTAATGTGAATGGACAAACACATGCACAAGCGCATGTAACAATGTTCAAAAACACAAAAAAATGCAGCAAATGTGTTTTTGAGCGTTTCTATTGAAGTCTATGTGACCAAGAAGCGCAGTCTGCCAAAAAGAAGCTCAGGTACTTTCTTTAATTGACAGGCATTTTGCTACAAGCAACAAAGCGCTCAGATGCGAATATGGCCATAGAAATGAAAGGGGTTTTCTTTGGCCTTTTTTTTTTATACAACTTGTACATAGCTCAAATGAACCCTCACTTTAAATCTGCTAAATTCCAGGTGCTTCAAAACAAAAAGGTGTTCAATGTCTTACAGATTGTTTTTCCTTGTAAACCAGCCTGAAAAGAAAAGCATGCCCTCTGCCAAGAGAGAGACACTTGCTCTCTGTGGGGAAGCAGTGGTCTCACTGAAGGAGCTCTGACACAACACCGACTGAGTCAGACCTATAGCTCTTCACAAAAGCTTATGCTCCCTGCTGATTGGAAAGCTTTGGCTTTGAGCAGGGGGCGAGTGATCCCACTGTGCAGCATGCTGGCAAGACACACGCTCTTCTACTTGGGCTGCGGCAAATTTTAAAGAACAAAATGTAATACTTTGCACAACTTTTGCTTTGATCAATTCAGCTGTAATTATGCAGCAAAACTTTTTATCCCCATGTCACAGCACATCCAGTATAAATTTAGCTATCGTGTACCAAGCAAAGCACTGCAAAAACAAAGATGGCGCCGTGCATTTACCAATTTCTTCCTGACACTGTACCACAATGGATTCACAACGTAACAATGTTGTGAAATGTGAAAATTACACCACCTCTACCTACCGTCAAGCCAAAACACTAACCAGGTTTCAGAATTTGTATGACATCCTAACATGGTGATCAGCTCAAATCAGCTTTTTCTCCTAAGCTACATAATGCACTGCAGAGTGTTTAAAAAGAGCACTATACTTCACTGTAATAAAACCTTGTTTCCTGTATGTTGGGTCTTCATGAGAATTTAGAATACATCTCAGTGACTATCAGCATTTCCTTCTAAATTCTATGGGTCTTGCCTGCAGAGGTTAAGGCTTACCCAGCAAAGTCCCTGAAGCATACACAAATGTCAAGGTGTCTATTGCTAGCTATCAAAAATACTCACAAATCAAGAGAATTAGTGATCTGTTACTGTAGAGGGGCTGGGTGGGGGAACAACAAATTCGGACCCTTTTCTAGTTGCACTTTGCACTACAATTTTTCCCCACTTAGTACAGTAGTGATCTTAGAGCCAAGTAAAAGATTTGCATTTGTCCCCATCTGCCTTCAAGCTTCATAAATATGGTCAGGCAACTAAAAAGGTTCCTATACTATTACAGTAAAAATAGCATTTATAAAACTTCACAATGTGTTTCTTTTAAGAAATAATAGATAGGATGAGTACCCAGTGAATATATGTCCTACCTTCTGTGTTTTGAATTATCCTCTCTACAAGGACTGGATATTTTGTAATCCTCTGTGTAACCAAGAGTATACACTCAGGGACTCCCAGGCGCCTTACAATCGAAGAGTTACCCATTTTCTGTTCCAAAGAAACAAGTATAAACCAACATTTTAATGTCTACTTATACAAAAGGGAGAAAAAGACAACTGATAATGAACAAAAAAGAATGATGTAACTGTTAATGTGCTTCCATTGTTATTTTGAATTCTGCACTGTGGATCAATTGCTTTCACTCTGCACTCATTTTTTCCACACATAGCTACCACTGTCTAGTTATGCTACCGCCTACAGGAAGATTGGACGCTGGCAAGAAAAAAAAAAAGTTGTAGCCCGTGCTATTCCTAGAATGTCTCAGTTTTGTCATAATGTCATACCAAGTGAAAAACCATAGACACAGAGGGGTGGGCATATGAGACTCTCAATGGACTCCGAGAAAAAGATTTATCGGTAAGTAAAAAAAATAAATATATTTTATGTTCTTTCTGATCCATTGAGGGGCACCGCCATTTAAATACTGTTGAGATAACCAAAAGCAGTCCAACTTAGGGGTCGGCAACAACAAAAACACTAAAGGGGCCAAAAAAAAACTGACAAAAGAGCAGCTGGAAGGACTTTACATCCGAAGTAGACTTCAAAAGAGGCCTGAGCATCCACCTGTTAAAACTTTGAAAATGTGTAAATAGAAGACCAGGTTGCAGCCTTGCAAATCTGGGAACAGTTGTTTGGTGCCAAAAAGCTTAAACTACACACAGGAAACATGGTCTAGGCCACTAAGAAATGCAGGAACCAGAACCAAGATGATGATAATGGTCTAGGCCACTGAGAAATGCAGGAACAAGATCCAAGTTCCTCTTTACAGGGACCATCAGGAATAACAGAGTCAAAACGTACAAATGCACATAGTGGCTGCAAGGTAAACCTGCACCAGACAAACTACATCAAGACAATAAAGACATCCGATAACCTGGAGCCAGATAGAAAGACGGAAGAACAATGCCCTGGTTGGGGTGATAGGCCAAAACTCTTAGGAAGGAATTCTTGGGTCACAACACCACTTTGTCCCTGTGTAAAGGGTTCTTTAAAAGGATAGGACCGCTAGCTTGGACACTCATCTTGCAGAGGTGATAGCTAAAACTGTGATTTTTGGAGAGCCGAGCGATCTAAATTCAAGATCCCATGGAGATCTAACAGGGGGAATCACATGGAGACATCCTGTGCAAAGGTCTTAATAAAGAATGGGAAGCCTGTGATCTCTGGAAAAAGACCCCAAATGCCAAGACTTGACCCTTGATGGTGCTAAAGGCTAAATTCTGAACCAGGTCTACTTAAAAAAAAAAAGGGCAAGGATACATCCTACAGAGAATTTGAAAGAGGCCATAAAGCGTCTGTTGATCTGGAGATGGGATTCCTCTGGCATCCCAAGTCCCCTGCACCAACAAGATGCACAGGACTCCTCCCCAGCTCAACAGTCCAGTATCTATTGTGAGGATCTCTCAAGATGTCAGAAGGAAAGTCTTCACCCGACTCCATAGCCAGATTCCCGAGCCACCAAGCCAGGGACAAACTAATCTTCGGTGCTAGGTAAATCAGGCCGTTCAAGGATTGGACTGACATGTCCCACAAAGATGAAGTGTTATAGGGGTCTGGAGTGGAACTGTGCCAAGGGACTGCCCCAAAAGGAATCCATCATCAGTCTCAGAACACTCATGCAGAAGTGCAGAGTCAGGCGACCGCTGAACTGAAGAATCCAAGTTTGGGAGTAAAGCGTTTAAAGTTTCTCCTGGCGCAAGAAAACTCTGGAATGAATTGTGTCTGAGGACAACGATATTACAAGCAATAAGCTGGTTTCAGTGCTAACTTCTGAAGGTTAAAAGGACCAAGCTAAACTTTAGATCTTCTGTGGCAGAGTAGTAGCCCTCTGTAACATCCGTGGTGAAGGTGTCCAGGACAGACCTTAAGAGAAATTGTTCTTTGAAGGGCATGCAAAGCAAATGCTTTTTGCCTGCCAGTTCCATAGCCCAACACTTCAGCCAAAGAGTCAACCTCATGATCAGCAACAGGAGACTCACACATGGAATGAGACTTCTTACAACCCATCTACACTAGAGTTCAAGACTGTGGGTATGAGCTCCAAAACATTTTTCTGTCATTGTGTGCAGATCCCTTCTGATAGTCTTTGCCTAGTCAGCTAGGGTTTGGCCAACTATGGTCACAGCCAAGACAGGTTGCAGTGCAGGGCCTGCCAGAGAACAAAGTTCTGGAAATGGCCTCCAATCATTTATTCATGATGACCTTAAACACGGATGTATCCCCAGCGGTAAAAGCTTTGTTAGGACAGGAAACATTCAGGTCTACCGTGGAGGCGATCCACCTTTCAGAAAAGTCGTCTTCAAACAGGTACAAGGCTGATAGGGGGTGGAAACGGCTTTGTCAAGTTCTTCCATTCTCCATAAAGGATGACTGTAAACAGCAGGAGCACCAGAGAAGTCTTGGTAGTCTCTGGGACCTTAATGCAGCCTAAACTGGGGACCGCACTGGTAGGAGCTAAAGGTGGATTCTTCAGCTTTAACCCCTTCATGACTGAGGCCCTTTTTTCAATTTTTGCACCCATGTTATATTCCACATTTTAGGCCTGAAAATGACGTAAAACCCCCCAACATTATATATTTTCTGAATGCCAAGACCCTATAGAATAAAATGGTGGTAGTTGAAAATTTTTATGTTGCGCAATATTAGCGCAACTTCTTATTAAACCCCAAAATTTAGTGACAAATTTAATTAAATGCCCCAAAACACAACAAATTACCCATTTTTAAAATGAAATATAAAAGATGAGGTTACAACGAGTAAAACGATACCCAACATGCCCAGTTTACAGATTGCGTGCGACCGTGAAACGGCGAAAAACTGCAGTACCCCAAAAAGTCAATAAAAGACACTTTAAAAGCCCCCACAGGTCATCAATTTAGAAATACCCCAAAATACTGGCCCTAGGATTATTGCTCTCACTCCGGCGTGCGCGGCGATACCCAACATGTGTAGCGCGTTCGTCGTTTTCATGCGT